AGTCTCACTCTTCTGTGAAACTTGCTAGTGAACAAACTGGGAGGAAAAGAAAAGCAATTGTGTCATTGTATGTTTAGGTTAAATGGTGACACATCAAGTAATCTAGAAGCCAAAAGCGGTTATCAGTTTTGGTTAAAAAGGTAAACAATTACTTCGAAAAGAATATACAAAGTTTGTCATGTATAATACTGAGAATATTTTGTTTTCAAATAAAATGCCTTTCTAGTGAAGATCCGCAACAGGGTACCACCCATGACAGCAACTTATGGCTGTCCTTACTATTGTGCTTAATTTCAAATACTGTCAATTACTTTTTTGAGCCTACACTAATCAGAATCACATTAACTCTGTTTCATGTACATCATCAATGGTGACCTTTTATGAGATATAAAATTATGAACTTTTACTAAAATCAGTAAGTTTTAAATTTTAAATTCCACATAAGTCCTAGAGTTGAGGCCAAAATTATGCTATATTTTTAAAAAAAATAAGGTCTATCTTTATAGTCAAATACATTAGCAAAGACATAAGTGAACCGAAGCAGATTTTTACCACGGCTACATTCTACACAGAGAAACTTACTGAGATTCAAAGGATGTTTTGCCTCTAAAAGTGGTTTAATGAAGATGCTTGGCCTCTGGTCTATGTCATATCTCTAATAACTTTGTGAACATAATCAAACAACTTTTGTATGCTAGATTCTTATTTACCTCTTCTATAAAAAGAGAATTGTTAAGGTGGTACCTTTTCATTCTAAATTGTGATGACTCTCACGATTTCAGGTATAAGCCATAAGCTGTTGACTTGTTTGCTTTCCACATCAGTGTACGTGTATCAGTACAAGATAAAGCACTAATGGCCACACAGTTGTTAAACAAGAATGTGTACTTGAGTGCAAAAAAAGGAGAAAGCTCATAACACATAGAAATTTTGGAAACTTTATAGATTTGTATCATTAATCACTCATATAAGCTAATCATTAATTGATTCATTTGTTTAACATAATTTTGGGGACCATTTAACTTGTTCTATAGGAACTTCCCTTTAAAGTTGCATATCAACTCTAGACCACATAACTGAGCGAACATTTCTATATGCCTTATACATTCAAAAACTCAGGTAATATTGCTCAGTAGATGTTCCTCTCCTATTAGTTATGAAGTTCCTACCAAGAATACTAGGCCAAAGGTAAAAGAAATATATGCATATTCACTAGGTTTCATGAAAGAGTCCTTGGTGATAACCAAGTGAACCACATTGTGAATGCTTTCCTGGAGAATTGATCAGGATGCTGTGTGTAGCTGACATCACTTTGCAGATATATTACTGCTGAGTATGTTGTGCTGATGCAGAAGCAGGTTGGTGCTTAATTTTCATAAAATGTAGCACTCTGATACTAACAGAAAGGTACCCATTGGCTTCCAAAATCAGTCATCTTTTTATAAAGTTCACTTGTTCTATTTTAATTAAGTGTATAATGAACATTGACCAAAATTTTATTAATTAAGGAGAACATTATTCAGCCTAAATCAGCAGTACCTTACAGAAGGGAAACTGTCAGTGGAATTCACAAGATTTTTTTTCTCCTGAATACATTGTGACCAGCTCAAAATGAATTTTAAAATAAATGTTTATTCAAGCCCAATTATAAAAAAATACCTTATGTTTCATTTATGAATTTCTATAATACATTTTATGTATAAAGTCATTATCTTTTTTTTTTAAAAAAAGCATACCACATGATAAGCTTAATAGGATTTGAGAGTAGCTGGAGGACTGAAACTCTACATCTGCACTCTGTTAACTGTTATAATTTTACTGAAATTATTCAGCACAAATTTAAAAAACAAATCGAATGCATCTCTCTCTCTCTCTCTCTCTCTCTCTCTCTCTCTCTCTCTCTCTCT